CGCCTGCGGCCTTTGGGCCCCCGGGGGGAGTTTCGTCCCTGGGGGGAGGGGAGGGAAGTTGGATTTATTGGTTCAGATTTTGCTTCTGACTTCGGGCGCCGGTGGCCCACGCCTGTCATCCTAGCTACCCTGGAAGCTGAGATCTGAAGGACCGTGGTTCAAAGCTAGCCCCGGCAGGAAAAGTGCGTGAGACTCTGATCTCCAATGAACTGCATCCACCCCGTCCCCTTCACCTCCCCCTCCCCCCAATAAAAAGACCGTGCTGTGTGACTCAAGTGGTTGAGCGCTAGCCTTAAATGGAAAGCCTCAGGGTCAGCGGCGCCTAGGTCCGGAGATAACTCGGGAGGTGTCCCTAGACTCCATTCCTGAATCGAGGCCGCCCATCAGGCCCCTCCCCTGCCCCACCTGTGTATGGTTTAGGGGTTAACGAGCACCGCGATGAAATAAAGTACCGTAAAAGAGATCAGTCGGTGTCTGCCACACGTTAAGCTGTAACTACGTGCTGACTGTCATCAGAGCCCAAGATCTGCTCAAAACTGTACGTTCCTAATCATGCACACCTAAACAACCTCTGGCGATCTGATTTCTTGTATCATCCTGATGTTGGTGCCAGTCACCTCCCCAGCCGCTCCACAATGAATGACATTTTGGTTCTTCCTCCTGGAAGGTAGCTAAATGAACCGATTTAAAGGGAAAAGTAAAGCAAGTGATTGTTTTAAAAGGTCTATGTGTTGTATTTCATCTAAAGCCCCATGAAGTCTTGCCATTGGGTGAATTGAGTAGATTCAGGAATCCATATCCTACTGTGCTTATTTTGGAAGCTGCTAGAGTACAAGAATGTGGGAAATGGTTGGTGTTTTCCAGTTTGAAATTGAATGGTTGGATATTATGTTGAATTATGTCTAGAAATTTGAGATCTGTTTTCAGAATGAATTGATGTACGTAGAAAACAATTTTAATTGTGTTAATCACCGATGCTTTTTAAAGAAGGAAGCATAGGAAAATATAAATAGTATTGTAAAGGGTTTTGGGGATAGTCAGATCTTTCCTTTTCCTCTTGCTCTTTCTCATCTTCCTCTTTCTCTTCTTTTGATTCTTTTCAGGATTGAATCTAGCGCCCCTTGCATGCTAAACACATTATCACTGATTTACAACCTCAGGCTTGTTCTATTTTTTTAAATTTAATTTAATTCTTTTTCTTTGGTTGGCCTTGGGGCTTGAACTCAGGGTTTGGGTCCAGTTCTTGAGCTCTTTACCTCCCACTTTGAGCCACAGTACCACTTCCACTTTTCTGGTGGTTCATTGGAGGTAAAGAGTCTCATGGGCTTTCTTGCCTAGGCTGGCTTTGAACTGTAATTGTGAGATTCCAGCCTCCCAAGAGTAGCTGGGATTACAGAGGTATGAGCCACCAGTGCCTGGGCTGGCATGTTCCATTTCAATACAGGTATACAATGTGTGATGATCAGATCAGGTAATTAGTGTATTTCTTCAAACATTTATCATTCTTTCTGTAAAATCATTCAAAATCCTATCTACTATTTAAAATACACAAATTTTGTCAGTGGTAGTTACCCTGCTATACTGTAGAACATTGGAAGTGAGTTTTCATAGCTAACCTCTATGAATGTTGGGTTTTGTTTGTTTTTGGGTGGTGCTGGAGTTTGAACCCAGGGCCTTGGGCTTACTAGACAGCCCCTCTTTTCCCAGTGCTTAAAACACATTGGTGCATATCTCTGAGTTTGTCATATCACTTGAGTTTTGAGACAGATTCTCACTTTATAACCCACCCTTTCTGCTGCCTCCGGAATGTTGAGCTCACAGGCCTGCACCAGTCTTGGGGCTTGAACTAAGGTCCTGGGCACTGTCCCTATTTTGCTTTTTTTATTTTCTCTCAAGGCTGTCACTTTCACTTGAGAGGCTTCCAGCTTTTTGGTTTCTAATTGGAGGTAACAGTCTCATGGACTTGGCTGCCTGAGCTGGTTTTGAACTGTGAACCTCAGATGTTAGCTTCTTGAGTAGCTAGGATTACAGGTGCAATGCCTGTAAACATTTTTTTTTTTTTGGGTCGGTCGTGGGGCTTGAACTCTGGGCCTGGGCGTTGTCCCTCAGCTCTTCAGCTCAAGGCAAGCGCTCTACCGCTTGAGCTACAGCGCCACTTCCGGTTTTCTGGTGGTTTATTGGAGATAGGAGTCTCACAGTCTCTCCTGCCCGGGCTGGCTT